ATTTTCAACAACATGACTTTTTTTTTTTTTTCCCTATAAAAAGGCAGTATAAATAGAAAACACATCAAAACACAGAAATGTTATATAGTCAGTGTAGGAAGATGTTTGTCTTGAAAGCATAACTCACCATTTGATATATATTTACTCATTTTTCTTTTTTCTATTCTCAACCACTGCAATTGCACTGTCTAATACTGTAACCCTTTGCCAAAAGTGGCTATTTAAATTAATTAAAATGAATAAAGTTAACATTTTTGTTCCTCAGTCACTCACACCACATCCCAAGTGCTCACAGTACGAAAGCTGCAGCCCATGGCAGAGCGCACGCAGAGCAGTGCACTCCCCGGACGTCCTGCCGCAGGGCTGCATCAGGATGCTTGAGCCACAAGGAGAGTTTCCTTCATCTGCTTATTGATGCGGCCCCACATCTGGAATTGAGCCTGGCACATAGTAAACCTCAACAGGTATTTGTTGAATGGCTGAATACTTCTAAAGTAGATTTTTGTACAGCTCTATGAAATGTCCAATTGAATACATGGCAATGTATTTTTTTGTATTAGATTATATCCACAAAGGCTATGTCTGTGACAAAACAGCTATAAAATAATTAGATATGTTTTGGTGAAAGTAGTAAACATTGTACCAGAACGTTCTATAAAACTATAATTTAAATTGAGTAAGACTGCGTAGCACTCACTATATAAACTTTTCTTGGTTTGTGAAAAAGAATGAATTTCTTTTTTGTCAGACATTGAATTTGTTAATTCCCTTTGTCCTACACTGGTAAAAACATATATCCCAGGATACACTCATAATTCAAATTCATAAAGAAATAAAACATTTTAATTGTTTCATTAGACTTCACAGAGTAATTTAAATACACTAATACTGTGATTATCACTAAGAAACAAATAAATGAGATCCCAGTTGATAGAAAGAAATATTCTGAACTGTCAAAGAAAGCTACTTTATGCTTTCATCATTAACCACTAACGTATACTAAACACATGCAACATATTTAATTTTTAAAGTTAGAGGTTTGCTATAGTTTCCTCCTTACAACTTGAGCTATTAGGCTCCTACTATTTACTCAATGTAGAACATATTTCTCTTTATGCAGTATCTCTTATATTTTCATATTGGTATAATTAAATAGAAGTCAAATTCTATATGTGAAAAATTTTACAAAGACAGAAAATTATTTGTAAAGGACATACAAAACAGCATTTATCCTGAACAAGAGAACATGTGAAAAAGAGTAAATAGTTAGTTTGTTTAAATTACCTTGATTATTTGGGGATATAATAAATTTATTTTCAGTATACAGGTAAATGTCCCAATGACTTTTTCTGCTCAAATCCCTGCTCATTTTTTCCCTATCTGAAAAGCAATGAAGTAAATTCTCTCTAAGATTTGTCTATCCCCAGCATCTATTATGTTTTGCCTTTTATTTTATAAAAACTATATATCTAATATTAATAAAGGATACTCATGTATTGACTAATCAGAACTAATATCTTTTTTCTAATCACAAATTATTACCTGCTCAACGCAAACTTTAAAAATATAGACAATAAAATAAAAAAAACACTCATAATCTTACCACCTAGAAACAAAGGACATGACCCTTACAGTCTTTGTGACAAGTGTGTATGTGGAGGAGGGCACCTGAGAGGGGGAAATTCGCTGAGTATGTACAATGATATAGCAAAGGTGATGTACTATGTACATCTTGTTGCTTCTTTTTCACATTTGATGGTAGATCATAAACATTTTATCATAGTTATAAATTTAATTCTATAGCATGCCTTTTAATAGCTGCACACTATTTCACTATGTAAGATACATCAAAATTTATCTATTATTGGACAAATATCTTGGAGAGTTTCAGTAAAACAGATGTAATGTGCTTTTAGGATACCCAAATCAGCTTTAGAATATAAAATGGTCAACAGCACTAACTATGTGTTATTTCAATTCACATACCTATTGAAAGAGTTTCAGGAATGGTCAGAAATAGAAGATACATTCTCAAAATTCTATAGGACCAATAAATCGATAATTTATTCTTGATATAACTCATTAATAGTCTGTATTTCTTGGTTTCCTCAGAATAGTGTTGAATATATATTGTGAACTTTTCTGATTAGAGAGCGAATCTATGGGAAGGATAAAGACACACTCTACTCCAGGTTCTGGACACGAACGCCAGTGGCCCATTCTGACAGCTGAATCAACTCTAGTTTAAAACTGTAGAGTCAAAAATGTGTTTGGGACTAACTGCTGATGTTTCATACGTTTTCTCACATATATTTATTCTTCATCAAATTGTTTACATTTGTAATTTGACATTCCTTTCATAATTTTAGAGACTATTACTCCTTCATACAGTTTTTGGCACAGTGATATCGTACTATATTCCAAATACTCAGTTTGTATACCGAATATAGAAACAGTATAAGTGTAGCCCGGCCGGTGGCTCAGTGGTTGAACGTTGACCCATGTACCAAGAGGTTGCTGGTTCAATTCCCGGTCAGGGCACATGCCCAGGTTGTGGGCTCGGTCCCCAGTGGGGGGCGTGCAGGAGGCAGCCAACTGATGTTCTCTCTCATTGATGTTTTCATCTCTCTCTAAAAAAACCAACAAAGAAAAAACAAAACAAAACAGTATAAATGTAAAACCAGTATGAATTTAGTTCAGAACCATGAAAACTATCTCAGGAGAGCATATTAAAACCTATATCTAATCATTAGCATTATAAATTCTGAAGGATCTGTTTATTAAAGGAATGTCTATTAACATATTCAAAATGATTAGTCAATACCACTAAAGAGGGTAATATTTCACTTTTTATTTTCTTAGATATAACCAATCAATAAAACAAAATTTCATTAGTTTATGTTCACTATAAATGTAGACCAAATTTAAAACATTTAATATATTTGCGGTTTTGTATACATCATTTGAATTAATCACCAAAAACAGTTTTGCCAATCCTTCTTTAAGGACTACATAATGAAAGTGAAGAACCATTTTGTTGCTTGAAAGGGTCATGCTCCTAAACAGGTTAAACATTTCCTAAAACTATATGCTTACACTATTAATAGAATTAATTTGCTTAGAAAACTATTTTAAAAAACATTATAAATGTAAATTATTACAAATTTGAAAGTTGGATGTTTTAATTAATAAAGTTTAACTAAATATCTGTGGGGGGGGGCAAAAAAAAGAGTAACTCATACAGACATTTTAAAATATCCTTAGATAAAGACTTAAAACTCTTGAGGAAAAAGAACTCATAACTATTTATTACCTTTAATTTTTAATTGCCTCTTTTATAACTCCAAATGCATTATAAACTCGTTCTTTAAAAACACCTAAATCTACACTGCCACATCCCACAACCAGCCCCCTGCTCCTCCTCAAGTGTCCCATGTGGTCAGCCTCTGGCGGGGAGCCGAGCAGGTTCTCATACACTGCCAGCATTCAACAGCGTCCAATGGATGCAACGCCAATAATTCTGTCAGGTTTTCACCACTGACAGAGAATAGATGAAGTCAAAAAGTTCTAACAATGCACTTGTACAAGAAATTCACATTTCTTTAATTCAGATTTTCAGGAACCTCTTAGAGGTCATGGATACACAAAAGTTACAGATGGGATGTCTGAAACACCATGAAGACTTTAATAAAAGATGCAACTTTTTGTCCTTTAAAAGAAATTTAAAAGATTTAGGCACTTATAAAAGTAGATCCTACTGTCAATATATACAGGTTCACCCACAGAGCAAACAAAGTTCCCATATGTTCAAACACTTGGCATCTGTGCCCTTCCCTTTACTATTTCATGCCGTGTTCCCATGGCCCCATGTTCTGAATGCAAATTCAGTCTGAAGGAGAAAAGTCCTCTGGCGCTAATATGAGGACTCAAGCACTGCTTCCTGCCCAGAGCTGTCCCCTGGGGGGAGGGGGGTGCTGGAGAGGGGAACACCAGCAAACGAGGCACTTTAAGGACACACCTAATTTCAGTAAGAGTTGAGAGAGAAGAAGCAGGCCCTGTTGCTATAAAATGTGTTAGGATGTACAACTTTCTTCTATTTTTGGTCAGGAAGAAAGTGGAAATAAAGAATAAGAATGAAAAAGAGAATTTATTATGATAACAGGTTTACTTTAAATCTGGGAAAATGCTGAGGTACACAAATAACAGAATTAAAGAAACTGACAAAACAGTTATCTTGACATAACTATTCCATATGGTTAAACATTTAATTTCTTTTTGTGTTACCTGTACTCTAAAATTAAATTATGTACACTTGCAAGAAAAAATTGTGCTTTATTCATTTTAGGAAATACAGATTTATGATGTTGATAAAAAATTATTTGAGGACAAAACTCAGAGCTCTTGTAGGTTAAAAAGTTTGAAGATCTATGATTAATTATTTATTAGTAGATCTAACCCTTCTGGAAGCAGCTAATTATATGCTTGGTATGTCAACATAAGTGGGCAAAATTAATATAAATGTTATAGCCATGATAATGAAAATATATTTGAAAAATAAACCAAAGTATGTTCACAGAAAAGTTTATTGCCATACTTTAAATGAGAGTATAATCATCATTTACAAAAATTATACATATTTAAAAATTAGGTTCAAAGTACATGGTAGACTCCAAGGGTCAGCAAACTTTGCAGTACATATATAGTCTCTCTCATGACCACTTGATCTTCCTTTGCAATGTAAAAGAAGCCACAGATAATACATAAGTGAATTAAGTGTGGCTATTCCAATAAAACTTTATTTACAGAAACAGTCATCCAACCTATAGTTGGCCAGCCCTTGAAATAGATTACATATTACTAGAAGTAGCATAGAATGAGATAAAGGATAATTTTATATTTTTATATTGTTATAGGTAAAAAATATTTGTGACATTTTCCAGATCTTTATTGATTTAAAACAAACAAACAAACAAAAATTTTAAGTAGCACATAAATCTTACCTGGTTAGGTATCCTCAATGGGGGCCTTGGACCTCCAGGGTACCGAGGTGACATAAAAGGCTATTGAAATAAAACAAACAAATAAACAAAACCAAACAAACAAACAAAAAAAGCACAATGTAAAATACAGATCTGAAATAAACTGCTTTAAAAAATTTTAGCATTATACAAAACATAAATCAGTTTAATTCCATATGTGATTCCATATGTGAGTAGAATAAATGCTTTTAAGAAAAATTACCATTGTATTTTATTTTTTTTAGAATATTTGGAAAAATTTAAAAACAGCAAAAATGACTAGAGTAACTACAGCAATTTTTTTTTTTAAATGTGAATTATCATTAAGAATTAAGAAATTTAGGCAACTGAATCTCAGTCAAGACCTCAGGAAGAGGCTTACTGGCTACATCTTTCTACAAACTGGGTCCTAAGTATGTACATCTGACTGAATTTACCAGTTTTGCTATCAATTTCCTTTAATACTTTTAAAGATGCCAAACTTTTTCACTTTTTCTTTTGTAGCTCTGTTTAAAATGATAAATATATTTCTTTACCAAGAGTCACTGTGGTTAAAAGTGTTTTGGCTTTACTTCATCAAGGTTTTGTTATGATTCAAAATTGATTATAAACTTTAAAGTTGAAATTTCTTTGTATATTTTGAGTCTAGCAGTTTATAAAGTGTATACTTTTAACAAAAACAACAACAAAGGCCTTGTATTAAAAGTCTATTAAATTTATTTACTTAGATGAATCAGAAGCTGCTAAGATATGTTGACTCTGTCAGTCCAAGAACTGTCTGAAAAAATCCTAAAAGTATTAGTGATTATTCCATCTTGAATGGAAAGAGAATATTTTAGATCACTCAGATTTGGGCACCAAATTTTCTGAAGTTATTTCTAAAATTATTAAAAAATTCAGTTTTATATTTTTCTATAAACAGCAGAAAAATTTTAATCTTGTTTAAGTACATCACAATACATAATTTACTTAAATGTAAGATTATACCTTACATGGAATATTAGCAAATTACTAACTGTAAAGTGTTGAATATTATAAAGTAAAATATTAAGAATGAACTAATATAATTAGAACCAATTTAACAAAGACTTGGGCAAGCCGGATTTGTAGTACTTTACATAATTAAATTCCACATTTATAATGTGTTTTCTAGAAATGTTTTTAGAAATTGGGCCTGCAGTTCATGGCTACACATATTTTCCAGGACTGTTTTATTTTCAAAAAAACATTTTTTAATCCTCACCTGAAGACATTTTTGCATTTATCTTCAGATAGAGCGGGAGAGAAAGAGGGGGGAAGAGAGAGAGAGAAACATCGACGTGAGAGACACATCGAGTGGCTGCCACCCACACAACCCCATCCGGGGCCGGGGACAAACTGCAACCCAGGTACATGCCCTTAGCGGAAACCGAACCCAGGACTCTTTGGTCCTCGGGCCGAAGCTCTAACCGCTGAGCCAAACTGGCCAGGGCTCTCAGGGCTGTTTTAAAAGCAGCATCTGAAACATAAAATCCTAACATATTTAGGCTATATAGAAATTTTCTTTTTCTTACTTTTTAAAAATTACATTTATTGGTATAACACTGGCTAATAAGATCACATAGGTTTCAAGCATACATTTCTATGATACATGATCTATATATTTCATTGTGTGTCCAAATATTTTTTCTATGCTATCTTTTGGAGGGTCTGAACAAACCAATATGAGGAACTTTAGAATTAAGCTAGCAATTTGGCTTTGTGCCAAATTATATATATATAGTGGATTTTCCAAGTTTAACATCTAAAAAATGCTTAGTTTACAAATATTTGATCAAAGGTGTCTCTCTGATATCATATCATTTATCTACTCTAAACTGGATTAATTAAGTATACTGCCAACTAGAAACATATCCCAATATCCATATTCTGTCTGCTCTTTTCCTAATACCTAATTTCATTTATGAAACTTGTTTCAGATTCTGGACTCATTTGAAAATTTTTAATAATTAAATATAATGTCATTGAAATTTAGAATGGTTGCCTTACTTTCACAAAGAAAAGTTATGTGATCTATTCACTAATCCAAAGTATAATTTCTATTTAGTTTTTGAAACATGGAGGAATAAAATGGCTTACTAATATTTCTTGACTATAATAAATTCACTTTGAAATGGAATATGAGGTAGAAATTGTTACAAATATTACTAAATACTAAATGCTGAGGTAAACATTGAGATGTGCCTTATTTGAAATGAAGCATTTGAGATTTGCATGTCCCTCTGAATGGAAACGATGCTGTGGTGTTAATGAACTGTTGGAAAGATGTTTTCTGTAACCTACGGCATTGTAACAAATGCGTGTTAATGGGCTGCTGTACTCTCCTGGCTGCGAAGCCTTGTCAAGGCTGCTGAGAGGAAGCAGCAGTGATCTGGTAGCCGGGGTCCTGTGGGTCCTGACAGAATAATATTCCAGACAGATTATCTCTTTAGTTATTTCTTCTTGTGTGTCCTTCTCCAAGAAGTTCAAATTTATGTTTTTGTTTTTGTCCTCACTCGAGGACATTTTTTGTTCAGATAGAGTGGGAGGGAGAGAGAGAGAGAGAGAAACATCGACGTGAAAGGGACACATCGAGTGGTTGCCACCCGCACGACCAACCAGGGCCGGGGACAAACTGCAACCGAGGTACATGCCCTTAGCGGGAACCGAACCCCGGTCTCTCTGGACCGCAGGCCGACGCTCTAACCGCTGAGCAAAACGACCAGGGCAAATTCATATTTTTGTTTTGTTTTTTAGGGGAGAAAATTCTAAAGCCCAAAATGACAAATATCTAGTTAATTTAGATCTAAAAATCTACTACTTTTACCTAAAATATAAAGACTGCTAGAAGGTAAGGCATTTTTAATATTAGTGCTATTATAACATAAACTCTTGATGTTCAGACTGAGCCTTACATTAAGTTATCTAGCTAACACCTTACATTAAGTTATCTAGCTAAGCACTGAGGTCCTCAGCTGCCTGTTTGTTGAGTAGAGACACAGCAACAGAACTCAAAAGAGTTTGCATACTAGCAACTGAGAATATTCTACACAAATATTTGTACTTCAGTATTCAGAAGTCAATCTGCTTTCAAATACACTTTAAGAGATTAAAACAAATTTAAATTATTTATGGGAAAATATGAATCTAAGAGATTACCTTCTAATCATATAAAGTACATCTATTGACAGACATGTGAATATTCTCTGCATTAATAACCTCGGAAGAGCAGGTTGTTCAAAAAAGTCCTTAGCTGTGAAATGTGCTTACTCTATATTTGGTGCAAGAAACTTTTAAAAAAAATCATTTGGGCATCAAAATGTTTGCATGAATGTGTCACGAGGTGAATCAATATTTTAACTGAAAAAGCCTTCCCCTTGAAAAAGTTATTTATTCTGTGTGTGCAAAACACATTTGAAACACATTTGACTAGAAGTCAAAAGCCTAGATTCTAGCTTCTGTACCCCCACTAATTAACACAGGGGCCCTGAGCAAATAACCTTTTAGGCCTTTAGTTTTCTCAACTTTAAAATGAGGGAGTTGGACTAGATGATCTCTCCATTCCCTTAGAAAAATCAACAAAATAAAAACCCATGATTCTGTGTTGATTATTCCCAGCATTACCTTTAAATATAAATATTAGTATACTGTAATTATCTATAAGTATCTGCAGGATGTGTGGTGGGGTCACAAGCATATGCTCCTAAGGCACAAACTACCTTTATTGAGGAGCTGGAGAAACTTATTTCCATGTTTTCCAGAGAAAAAGGAGAACCTAATTAAAGAAAAAAATACTCCAACAAACAATTACGTTTTTGGTCAATAGGGAGAATTTGAAAGCTGCATTTATTGATTAAAGATTAGTTCATTCAACAAATATTTATTAAATACCTATAAAGGCACTGTGCTAATGGTTGGACATATCAGTGAATAAAGCAGATAAATATCACTGCTCTCTACTTAGAACTTTTCAAGGTTCACAGTCTTGTAATTAATAGGAGAAATAATTTTTGGGGAGAATTGTTTTCTACTATCAGTCCACTAATCTGGAACAAATAGAATGTTCTCTTCACCAAATGGCAAGTATCAATGAAAACCCAAAGAAAATAACGTGTCAATCTGGTGCCTTCCCTCAAAAGTCATATTACATCATCCCTACTTAATAGAACATGCAGTGCTGTGAATGACTGAAAATCAAGGTTATGCTATTAAAAAATGTTTCCAAATTAGACAAAACTCATGGAGTACGATTCCTTACAATATGATAAACTGAACAGAACAGTTAGCACTGTGACACATGGAAACTACATTTACAGACATAGATTCTATTTTCTACATGTTTAAGTTATCTTCCCAGAATGAATGGGATAACCCAAAGTGAATAAAAATATATACAAAGTCAGAAAAATCAATAAATGTTTGATGACAAAATGAACTGAAAAAAAACTAAAAGAAATAAAAACCAAGTGTCCATCTCATTTCCTCCAAAATAGTCTTTTAAAGAAAAGATCAGCCCTGGCCAGTTTGGCTCAGCGGTTAGAGCGCCGGCCTGTGGTCCGGAGAGACCCGGGTTCGGTTCCCGCTAAGGGCACGTACTTCGGTTGCAGTTTGTCCCCGGCCCTGGATGGTCGTACGGGTGGCAGCCACTCGATGTGTCCCTTCACGTCGATGTTTCTCTCTCTCTCTCTCCCTCCCACTCTATCTGTACAAAAAATGGAAAAATATCCTCGGGTGAGGATGATAAAAAAAAAAAAAAAAAAAAAAAAAAAAAAAAAAAAAAGAAAAGATCACACCATTCAGTCATAATTTATTTCAGTTTAATGTCATTCTGTTTTAAAGAATTATTATTTTTCATTATATTAAGAATTACTCCTTGACTTTTAAACTCCTGTGGTCCTAAATTCTGTTTTCAAGAGAGATTTTCCTTTCTTTTTGGTGCTTTTGCTAGTGGAAAGTATAGTCTCCCTCTTCTTACATGGTCGGATAAGCCCTTAGTGTTTTATCTCAATTCCCTAAGTATCGGA